TACTTGGCAACGTCGAGGTTCTTCCTCATACAACGGTGTTTATAATGCAATATCTCGAATTACAGGAAAAGTTTTGGACTGTGAAATATTTTCTAAATATTGCAAATAATGTTTTTTGATTACTCTCTATAAACCTGGCCCTGGTTTGCCACGTGATATTATTGAGTTTCTAAAGCCAATTTATATAGAATTTAGCTCAAATGATTTGCTTGCAAAATGTATGCATGGAAAAACTTAGAACCAAAATGAGAATTTCAACATGATGATATGGGAACGAGTTTCAAAAACTAAATTCTGTTCATTGTTACATTTGCAACATATGATACTATTGCAAAATTTAATATTGGAAGAAAAGCATCAGTGATAACTTATGAAAAATGTTCCTGGAATCAATATGATTCCAGGAACATTTACGATAGATAGCTGCAATAGAGAAAATAAAATGCGTTCAATCGTCATACAAAAATAAATCTGATGTAAAGTTGCGCAGAAAAACAATCAGGGGCAATAAAAAGAACAAAAAACATAAGGAAAGGCAAAAACAAGGAACTCTTTATGCTGCCGGTAGTTTTTAAACATTTTGCTCCTAAATTTACGTACATTATTAATTTTTATAATATTTATTTGCATATTTTTCTCTTTTTTAATTTTTAAAGTCTTTATTTGCTTACTTCTATTTTTTAATATCCCGTCACAGTTATTTCATTTTCTAGTAACCAGTTTTTAACCAAATTTTCAGGAGTGATGTGTTTTTATATGATGTATGCAATCTGCCAAAAGTTAATTATAAAACATTTCAGAGTTCGAGATATTGCACTAAAAAATTGCTTATTTAAAAATCTTCATAATCCGTGTAGTGCCACATGGAAACTAATAGTCAGATTTAAAAACTTTTGGCAGATTGCATAGATTAAACTGTTTTTTATCATAGGGACATGTTTTACTTTGAATACTCTATTAGAATTTGAGATATTTTTGACAGTGTAATTTGCGTATTTTCTTGTATCCACCATTTTAGGTGGTTGTCGTGACAACATACCACCTGTAATTTTGTAAATCAGTATTGGCGCAGTGGTATCACACTTGCCTCACAAACGTAAGATCCGTGGTTCAAACCCCACCTCTGGGCAAGTTTTGCGACATCGGTTGGGAAGGAGGCGTGAACTTCCTATTAAATGCTCTTTCGCGGTGCTCTGTGATAAGACCGTAAGGACTTCTTGGGGCACCTTAATCAACTTAAAAAACAAAAAAAACAAAAACTTAAAAAACAGTTTCATTTAATAAGATCTTTCATAGGCTTAATTTTAATTTTGACTATAAGATTTCACTTCCAAGATAATTTTGAATGGGTAAACGATCTTGGATAAGTTGGGCTTTTACTACGTCGGACGAAATTTTAATTCCCCTTGAACATTCTACATCAAATTACTTTAAAATCATCTACTTAGGTCGTACCCTGGTTAAGTCGGACCATTTACTAACTCGCACTGTTTTTTAAGATCCCTTCGGCAAAAAACTTCGTTTAACTTTTATTTTGAATTGCATATAAGAGCATATGAGGAGTGGACTTGCAAAACCAGATTATTCACTTTTTTTAAAAAAAAGACTTATCTATGTTTTTTTGTAGTATTGATATTTCTACATCTTTACAAATAAAAATTAAATTTAAAAACCACTGTTTTAATAACATTTTACCTCCCTTAAATTATTTAATCCGTGCAAAACCAGTTTAAAAAAAATTATTGTCGATGCAAAACAATACATAAATTTTATCTAATCAGCATTCTGTTTTAAAAACGTTTTAAAAAACAGACGGAAGTTATTTAAGAAAAAAATCGTATACAAAAAAACTCACTAAAAATAAAAAAAACATATTTAAACAGTTACAATTGAGTTTTAACTTCATCAATCCTATTTAAGTATCAAACATTGAAATTACTTATTTTATATGGCATAGGGACGTTTTGTACAATTATTTTGATTTTTAAAATTGTCACTAGTCAAGTTAACTTCATAAAACTTTTTTGAAAACCAGGTAGAAATAAATTTCTGATCAAAACCATAAAAAAAAATTGGCATGCAAAATCAGATAAAAACGTTTTTTTATTTTGTAATAAAAATTAGATCAATAGAGCACGATTTTCAAATTTTTGTCTAAACAATAGATATCATTAAAACGTTTAACGTTTAACGTTTAATTTTTAGCTATTCGATTTACTGGAAAACATTTTTAAATTGCGATTATCTCAGAATGAGAAATAAGTGAATTATCTGGTCTTGCAAATCCACTCCTTATATAATAACAAAAATCTCAATACTTCAAAAAAAATTTAAAACTTTCAACGCTCGAAAACTTAATATATTTGCATCAAATATAATTAAACATACCTAAACATTTTCATGAAGATCTTTCGATTCAGTTAAGCTTCGATTAAATTCTATTTGTTAATAACTATTACATTAAAAATTCAAAAATATCAATTAAAATTCGAAACTTAGAACTTTCGAAAATTATTTACTTTCGCATTAAACATTTAATGAATAACATTAAACACGCATTTAACGAACTTTTAAATTAAATAAACATTTTCACTGATATCTTCGATTCGGTTATACTACGATCAAGTTTTATTTACTAAAAATGTTGAAGGTTGCTAAAAGAAAGCTATCAAGTAGAACTCTAACAGAAAAATACAAAATTCTAAAATAACTTGACAAAGGATGTCTGTCTGATCATCTGCATCTATATCAAAGAAATATAGCATTCCAAAGCAAACTTTGTCTGGATGGTCAAAAGAAAAAACACAGCATGTTAAGAAGTCGAAATAAATAAAACTTCTGCGAAAAGAATGTGTATGCGTATCTCCCTAAATTAGGATTTGAATAAAGGATGTTATATGTGGCTTTTAAACATCCAACACCAAATCATTCTTGTGTCTGGAGCCATTTTCAAAGTCAAAGCTTTGCATTTTGCAAAAAAGCTTGGTTGTGACAACTTCTAACCATCTATCTAACCATCCGATGGATGGTTAGTTGATGGAAAAAAATAAATGTATTGTTTAAAACAATATCAGGTATATTATCTTTTATTTTTTCATATTTACATTTTTTTTAGTCATTTGTCTCAAAAACAATATTAAGCATGAAATTCTCATTCTATTCTATCGCCCATAAATCAATAAATTATTAAACCAATTCTTTTGTTTTAATTTGTTTAAAGTCATTACCATGTTTTGACTCATTACCACGCACTGCATGAAAAGTAAATAAAATCCTAAATAGATAAGAAAATTTTAAAGTTGTTTTTCTTATTTTTCATATGTGAAAGTCAAGATGTCACTAATGAAATGATCGCTTTTTGGAGGAAACAACTTTGCCAACAACATTGTCTTGTTATAATGATATAAGCCCTGTTAGTCGCATGATATAATTAATGCAGATGAGTTCAGTTTGTTTTATAAAGCACTTCTAAAAAAAAGTATGTATTTAAAAAGTGAGAAATGTAGTGGAGATAAGTATTGCAAGATGCGACTAACAGGGCTTGCTGCAGCTAACATGTGTGCAGAAAAACTTCCAACGTTTGTTATTGGGAAATCAAACAAGCCCCGTTGCTTTAAAAGAACTAGAAGCACTCCATGTCGTTACCGTGGGCAAAAAAAGACTTGGATGATCTCTGAACTATTTGAGGAGTGGTTAGAGAAAGCGACTGAAAATTTGCATTAGAAGGCCGTAAGAAAGTATTGGTTATTGATAATTGTACTGCACATCCGAATATTGAGAATCCTAAATCGGTCACACATTTTTTTCACTATTTTTTTCCCCCAAACACAACTTCATGTTTGCAGTCAATGGATTAAAGAGTTAGATGATGCAATGAAAATGTTTTTATATTCTTGGAATAAAGTTTTAGAAATCACTATTATTAACTGCTTCCGCAAAGCAGGATTTAAGAAAAGAATAGGAGTAACAGACAAAGGTGAAGAATACTTCCATGCATTAAAAAATTTAATTGATCAGTTACATCAGCAAGGATCTTGTTCCAGAAGATTTTTTACTTACGAAGGTATATTAACAATTGATGATGACGTTTCGGTAATAGAAGGAGTGATGACAAATTAAGAAGATAGAAACAAAACGTCGGATGAAACGGTGACAAAGCCAACGACTGAAGAAGGTCGTAAAGCAATTGATACCCTTGTTAATTTTTCAATGTTTACTCAGCGTGGTGAAATTGGATTAGTAGCTTTGAATGCTTCAAAGCTGTTTGAAAAAGATTTGTGTGAATCACTGAAACAAAGATCAATTTTTGACTTTTTTTTGTTGATAGTATATATTATAAATACAAAAAAATATATTTCACATAAGACTATATTGTTCTGTATATATGTACATAATATTTATATCTCAAAGGACATTCGATAAGTCTCGAAATCTCAATAAGCCGGACATTTTAAAAAAGTCAGACTAACGAGACCTTTGTTTAACTTGGACATTCGCTAAGTCGGACAATAAATATATACCCCTTCAGAGTCCGAGTTAACGGGCTTTTTCTGTAAAACCAAATTGTTCATGCGTTTGCACAGTTTGGTTTTATTTGTATTATTTTTAATTTTCACTCCTTTCGTCAGTTGCTACAATTAGTTATTTTAAAAGTTAGTTATTTTTAATCTGTAAATAGATTTAATACCAATTTCAAAGTCATTAATTGCAATAACTATTTTTATCACTTTTTTTTACCTTTAGCTGCATCTTCATCTGCAACGAGTAGTAAGTTTAACAATTTTTTTTTCTTAATATGTTTGCATTTCTCAACAACTGCAAATTTATTTTTTATTAAAACTTTTTAGCCTTAAATCCATTCTCAACTGAATTGAGTGGTAAGCTTAAAAATATTTTTATTGTATCCTTTAAAAAACCTATTCATATATGTATGTATTTTGGATCAATTGGAATATTTATTTTTTATTACATTTTTTAACCTTAGTTTTATCTACATCTGTTATAAATGATATGTTTACAAACTATTACTTTTCAATATGTTTATGCATTTCTTAGCAATTGCAATATTTTTTTTAATACAACTTTGTTAATCTTTAGTTACATTTTCAGCTGCTACAAGTGGTAATCAAGCTGCAGCAGCTGCTACAAGTGGTAATACAAGTGGTTTGTGTTGTAATTTTAATGTGCATCAATAATTTGTTAATAATTAGCTTTGCCAATTATTGACAGAAGTCAAACGCTGCATAGTTTTATTATTATAACGTTTTGTATAACGACCATTAATTGTTGACAAGAGTCACAAGTTGTACTTTTAAATGCTATATATAGCAAACAATTTTTTTGTAAAAACGTTGAGGTTAATGATAAACAATAAAAACATTAAAAACAAAATAGTTTCTAAATGGGTTGAACAACAAGCTAACCGGGCGTGTCTTTTATCTCCACAATATAAAAATGAACAGCCAAAGCGATTTATTCAGCAGATGACTTCTTTTTTTTGTAATAAACAATATTACTGCAGATCTACACGTAGCGTAGTTTCTTGCTGCTCTGCCGTCGAAGATTTACAAGACCATGGAGGAATTAACAGTACCTGAACTGCCAGAAGACGTTTCGTACGAAGAGTTGGTGACGAAACTGGAAACGTTGGAAATTAGAAAATCATTGTTAATCTTACGGTATTAATTATGGAAAACGTATCGTGGCAATGAAGAATCGATACAGACGATTGCGCATCGAGTAATCCGAGCAGATCAAGAATGCAAGTTCAAGCTTTCAGAGAGAGACGGCAGACTTTGGGATCATTTCATTATTGGGACTAATGATGGTGCTGTTTTGCTTGCCATTCTTCGAAGAGAAGATGCGTTAAGCTTTAACAATTGCGTCGAGACGGCATCCCTGGTTGTACCAACTAGATTAGATGCGGCATGTTTATCTGCAAATGAAGAAGTAAATTCAAATTACCGAACAACTGGGACTGTAATGTCAAGTGATATACGGAGAAAGAAAGAAATGCGATGTTTTAACTGCAAATTGTTAAATCCATTTGCAATCAATCATCAGCAAAAAGTTACACTTACTATAAAGTTATTCGTGTAGTGAATGTTGCAACGATCGGCGGAATAATTCGATGTGAAGAAGTTGTTAATAAAATACACCACCCAACAAATGGGTGCTTGGTGAATGCATTGGTGCTATGTGTGGATGAAGTAATAAACAAGTACGACGTGATCATTGGTATGGATTTAATAAAGTCGTGTGATAAACTGAAAATTGGCATTGGGAAATTGAAATTCTTTAACCTCGGATTAAATTATCATCGATACCTTGTGTTGCAACAATTGAAATTGGAACAAGAAAAGCTTATTTTGATGGCAAAAAATGGATTGTAAGTTGGAAGTAGGAGAACAAACCTAAAATGAAAAACAGAATAAGTCAGTATAACGTATATAACAAACATCGTTAAGCGTTCGTCAAAGAAATTAATGAACGGACTAAAGAAGGTATACTTATCAAATATGAATATAAAATTATGGGAAAAGCTAAAGGATTATTACCGTTGATGTGCATTATTCAAGATAATAAAAAGAAGATAAAATCGGTATTGAATATCGCGAACTTAACACCTATTTAAAAGCCTCAACAAGGGATGCGGATGTCATCAACGATGAATCATGAGTAAAAACAGCAACGAGTCGGTGCTAGATCTAAAAAGAGCATACCTACAAATTCATGTGCATAAACAACATTGGCCTTACCAAACTGTAGTTTACAAAGATCAACGGTTATGCGCTTACACGTTTGGGCTTTGGTTTGAATCTAACACCTGTGATGATGAGCTGAATACTACGATATGTTCTCCAACAAAACTCTGCACTTGCAAAATCAACAAGTGGATACATTAATAACACCTTAGCAATAAATGGAAATGGAAAAACGCTGGTGGCACATATGAAGAAATGGGGTCTTCACGCAAAAACAACTGAATATTTTGGCAAAAACCCAGTTCGTGCACTAGGATTGGAATTAAAAGTAAATTCATTTACAAAGGAAATGTTTAGGAAGAGAGGACGCGAAATTCCCATTATCAAAAATCTGCTCACCAAGAGGGAGATATTCTAATTATGTGTTAATCTGGTTGCTAATCTACCAGTTCATAGACGTAGAGTTATAGTTTTCCCGGATGGGGCATAAACTATTTTGCAGGAATTGAAAATCTATAATAAGAAATAAAAAGTTTTTCAATGGGCATTAAAATGTAATTTATTTCTTCAAGTAAAATGTGTTCATGTGTATGGAGGCACGCGTTACATGTTACGCGTTATATGTTACGCGTTATATGCTCATCGATCAAATGATCAAGATTATAAGTGTAGGAAATATCGCGATGACAATTTAAAATAGCGAGATGATCCAATTGATCCTGAGACATTGTAGAACGCAAATAAATCTTTAGCCTACGAAGACAAGAAAAAGAGCGCTCACACGTACGGCGTAGATAGTAAAATCCTCACCAGCTTCACAAACTCGGGAATCAGTGAAATGAAGTGAGAAAGTACATTATCATGGTCTACCAGCTCATTCAAAACTGATTCAAAATCATTTAGTTGAATGTTCTTAAATTTTGCATGATCCACAAATATATCGCAATGGAGTTGTAGTTTTCTATAGTCTTCAAAGTCATCTTTGTAACAAGCCTCAACAAATCCAACTTCCAAGCACTGACTAATGATAAATTTTTCTACATTTGCTAAATGTTCAGTGGTCTCAGTTGGTTCAAAACGGGTCACAAATCCCTTTATAACATCATCGATGGATGCATAGAAAAGCTGGCGGTAGTGGTTCTCTGGAGTCGTAAAAAAGTATGGAACTCCACTTCCAGTAAATTTTGATGCAATTTTATGTTTCCGTGGCATGTCTGGTTTGTCAAGTAAACTACATTCTGCTGCTACATTCCATAAGACTTTGAAGCGAGTATCACCCCGGGCGTCTTTTAACACCTCCTTAAGCGTGTTGAAAGTATTTCTTGCTTTGCAAAAATTAGGCTGCATGCCTAAAATGATTTTCAATAAACGTTTAACATTATAATTTGCTTAAAATAGTTTATTTAAAATAAAAAAATAAAAAATTATGAAATAATACAATATTTACCTTGGAGAGCTGTATTAGCATCCTCGAATATTGTGAAAATCATGCGCAAAGTTTCCAATTTGAAAAATGCGTCAAACTCACAAAAAGATTCCAGATAACCCGTTACTTCTGATTTATTTTTGGCTGAATTATCAGAATGATTTTCAAAACCCTTTAACCAGTTGATGATGCCGGAGTAGTTACTCGTAATAGATATAATGGATGGTTTTCTAAGGATCCATCGAGTGGAGCAAAATGACCGGAGTGATGTTCCGCTTTCTACATCCTTTACATTTCGAAATTTATTGAAACATGCCAGTCGTTTTGGAGATCCACTGAAAAATGCGATAAATGCTTGTACTAAATTCATTATATTCCTGATCTCTGTTTGATTTGCAACAGAATCTTGTGCAACCAAGTTGAGATTATAAGCGCGGCAGTGCACGTAAATTGTCCACTCTTCTTTCTCCCTCATTAAAGTTTGCAATCCATAGATACTTCCAGACATGTTAGACGAGCCGTCTAAACATTGGCCCCAACTTTTTGAATTAACAGGCTAAATCGACACAAAACGTCCATCCAACTGTTTAACAAAGTTGCGCTTTTGATGTTCTCGGTTTGGTAAAATCCCATAAAAAGCTCCTCAATTTTAAATTTTTCATTAACACGTCGAATGCAGGTCGTAACTTATTCTTTTGCGGACATATCCGTTTTTTCATCGTCCATCAAACTATAGTGTTGTGATTCCCTTATACTTTTGCATATCTTACAAAGCGTTGCATGAGCAAAGTCTTGTAGGATTTCGTTTTCAATTTCAGGCGAGAACCATTTTTAATTTTCAGAATGATTTAACAGTTTCTTCAGTTTCAGAGAATCGTCTGGTCGTAGTTTCAGTAGCATGCGAAAGTTTGAATTATTTTCAACCTTCTTACGAATGGCAAGCCCTTGCGTTTCCTAATACATTAAGAAGAAACGTTTAGTTATTCAGTAAATAAACTTAACGATTGATAGTTAATCTAAATTTTTCGTAAAAAAAATTGAAGAATTACCAAATAAAGAAGTGTTGTAAATATTTTTGATAACGTCGTACAATTATCTATCATTTCTTTCTTTTGGTGATGATTAAGCTGCTTGATAACGGTCGATTCCAGTGTTGCTGAGGTTATCATACTAATGGACGCTCTATGGAGTTCAGATCGCTCATGAGAACCAAAAATCTGTAACGCTTTCCTCCAATTAGAAAATCTGTTTAAAATAAAAGCTTCGTACGAATCTTTTTTTTCTCGAACTACGAGGTAAAGACATTTTCATTTAGGTAGCTTTGATGCAGGTAAAACAAAAAACTTTTTCTTTCTCGCGCTCATGTAAAACCCATTTATATTTTTCATTCCAGCTTTGTTTAAATTTTCTTCCCTTTTTTGATGGAAAAGACTGTCTTGAACAACAAGGTCCAGGCTCCTCTGTAAAAGACGGCGACTCATTAACAGCGGTTGAATCAGTTGCATCATCTGACTGAACAAATGATAAACTTTCATGAGTATTACCTTATAAGTTATTAGCATTTTGAGATTTACAAAATAATGCAACTATTTCAATTTGATTTTCTTTTTTTGAAAAGTATTTACTAATCTTCTTCATTGTACAAGTTGTACAACTTATTACTTAAAAGTCAATGTACTGTTGAATAATTAAAAATTTCATTAAAAACTTACGTTTTTTTTAATTCAAATCATTTTTAATTCAAGACTTATAAGTAATTAATACAAATAATACTGACAAAGTTACCAAAGAAAAAAAACACTAAACGAACGTCTAGTATTTTTTATGTTAGTATAACTCACACAACTCTTTAGTTTAAGTAGTTCCGTTAATTTGCTTTTTGTTACGTTTTTACCTTTTTTTTTACGTTTTTTACGCTTCAAACTCCCTTGAGACTCGTCAGAAGCGTGGAATTTCTGAAATTCCACGCTTCTGACGAGTGACAAACAGGTGTCTACTTGATGTTTCCCGAAACGTAAATGAAAGTGCTTATTGTAATAGTTATAATAGGACTTGTAACTGAACTTTACCCTTTCATTTTGTTTCATGAACAGTTTATACATTAACTTCACGTTCAAATCTTCACTCAAAAAATGCCTTTCCTTTTCGCCATAGTGGATCAGCTTTTTTGGAAAGGAGTCTATGTGAGCGTATACCTTAGTTAGTATATCGTGGCTGGTAATGTAACTCGAATGTACTCCTATCAAATCTTTAACTGCTTTTCCATCCATTTTTAAACTTCTTTTTCTTCGGACCCTCTTTTCTGACACAGAAAATATTGATAAAAATTTTGATAAAAACTTAAAATTGAAAATATTGATAAAAACTTGCTATTAACAAGTCTTGTTAAAAGCAAATTCCATAACCGCAGTCCTCGGCGAAATATCGAAAAATCAGCTTGTTTTGACAACGTTTTTGGTATAATAAAAATATTTGTTGAGTATTTAGTTTCGTATTAGTGGTTTAAAGAAAAAAAGTAAGTTTGGAAAATGCTTGGTAGCATACGATTTTTAAACTTAAACATTAAAATAAGTATATTAAGAATACTTATTTCATAGACATTAGGCACTTTAATTTCTCTTAGTAGTGGTCTGGCTCTTTCTCCAATTTCTCTTAGTAGTGCTCTTTTTCTTAGTAGTGGTCAATGTTGAAAACATTCTCTTTTTTGATGCTTTTTTACAAGCAAAAATTGTTATTATTATTATGTTGTCTTACGAACGAGTTGTATCTAATTCATTTTCAAAATATATATCTGATAGATGTTCTTAAATCTCTTGTTTTAAAGTGGCCCTAACAATAATTTTTTTTAAATCAATTTTTATTTACATAAAGGTCGTTCACCTAATGCGACAGATACTGGTATAAAAAATAAAGGCTACTTCAGACTATTAAGACGCGAAATATCTTCTATAAAGTTGTATTATATTTCAAGCTTTACAATTTGTCGGTTCTTGATCTTTTAACCAGATGAATGGGAATCTTCACGAAAAAATTTATACAATCCCAATTTTAAATTAAATTTGTTGAATGAAATGAAAAAGCGCAACGTTAAAGGTATTTACTCCGATTATATACTCGGAAAACTCACAATAAAAAATTGCATATTCAGATTCATTGCGATTTTGCTATAATTATTCGCTTTACAAAAAATTCCTTTTTATTGCCAAGACCAGCCATCTGCTCATCATGGGGCGATATTTTGGTTAAAGCTAAAGCAATGGCTTTAGGATGCAGCAATTTCCTTAGATCGTTTTACAATTAGTTTTATAGCAGGTGAGATGATTGTCTGGTGTCTATTAAGCAAGATCTTCAGTCTAGCGGGAAAACATAAAGATCTTAGTTTTTTATTTATTACAATAATCAATGAAAATCATACATAAAAAGTTTAGCATTGATGAAAGAAAGTAGCACCTTTTATATGCTGACGACATTTCTTCAGCCAAAGTTATGTCATAAAAATACTTTAAAAAGAGTTTACTGTAGGTAAATCAATTACATCCTGCGCTGATACTATTTCGACGGTTTGTAACAAATTTTTTCAAAAAGTGCTGATTTTCGGGGTAACCTTTGATTAATTGGGGTTTTAAACAGGCCGTTTTTTAAAATTATATGCTAAGTTTAGTGAGAAATTGTAAAGGCGCCTTTTTTTAAATTGGTTTAAAAAAAGAAAGACTTTGACCTAACAAATATCTTTGGTAATATAAACAAATTACGTTAATATGCGCATCACCAAGTAAATTTTATAATCTCATCCATAAAAACAATTTTTTTTACTTTTTTAATTAAAATCCCATAATGTTATGTGTTATATTTATGTCTTTCGTCAAATTTTTTTTTAAATCTCATTATAATTTTTTATAGTCTTTCGTATTCTGGCGCCCCCATTATCTTGGCGCCCGGGGCACGCATGCCCATTTTGCCCCTCTCTCGGTGGTCCTGGACAAGAATCACAAGTTGTATTTTTAAATGTTATACCTTTTAAATGGTTAATACAATAATATATTAAGAATAACTAGATGTCTAACTGGCGTAAATTGGTATAAGAAAAAGTGAAGCAAAAATCGGCCATTATGGGGGACAAAATCTTTACGCTATTTATCAAAACAAAACAAATACGAAGCTTAAAATTGTTTAAAAATGTAATCAATAAAAAATCGATTCACAGATATTTGAAAAATTTGATTTTATTTTGATTTTGATTTAAAATTTAATAATTATGTAAAACATGCATTGATTTTTTAAACATTTCTAAATCATACTTATTTCATTTTTTTTGGTTTTAAAATTTAAATTTGAATGATTTTAAAATTTAACATTCGACTAAAATCTTAAATTTAGTTGGATTTTAATCTATTAACATTTTATGTACCTGTTAGTTATTAATTACCCTCTGCAGTAATGCTAGGAGGTATTATAACGTAACTGCAAGGTAAGCAGAGTTAAAACTTGTAATGAAACATAAAACTGTCTTGACTATTAACTAAGCTCTGTGTGACACAACTTAGAGGTTCCTTCTAGAAATGTTAGAATTTTATTTATGGTTAAACATTTCTTGTTATCATAAAAATCATTATTACTTTTTTGGATAATTGATTTACCGTCAATTAAATTTATTTCAATGTTATGTTATAATCTAGTAAGGTTTTCAATACAAAAAAATATCTCGGTATATCCATACGTATTCAGGTATATAAAGAATATTTTTCCTGTGAAAAGCGAGTTTTTCAATATAAACAACAAATTAAGAAAAGTAACAGTTAATAAAACTTAATTTGATATTTTTATTTATAATATTTTCATATATATATAATTTTTAAATAATTTATTATCCTTTTATATATTATATATTTATTTTATAAACTTTTAAATATAATTAATTTATTTGATTGTTAGACCAATCATTGATTTTCTTAAAAAAATTTTCTGCATATAATTGGCCATCTCTTTGGTAAACATTTTTATTAGTTGTGTGGAATGAATGTCTTCGGCGACAGCTTCATGCTCAGCTCAATGTTTTTCACTAATAATTTTATTAACAGCATAAATCATTTTTAGCTTAATGTTTCGCTCTGCATTCATTTTTGGTTTTTTGAAATCGTCACTGCTGACATAAATTTTAAAAACACTCTCGCATACTATTATAGTTTGTATAACATTATTTCTAGGAGCAATAAACCCACCCCTATTTTTTACGTTAATCAATGAAAGAGCTGATGTTCCATAAGAATGTTCCACAAAATTGCTTTGGGATATAAGTGAGTTTGCACACACAGAACATGTTATCTTCGATAATAATCTTCTTACAATAAATCCAGATATACATCCGAGTATTGCTTCTTTATAGATAGAGTTATTTTCAAGATTATTTTGAATTGTAACAATATCAATATCAAAGTTAAAAAAATCTGTTTCAGGATTTGAATAAATTGCAGCTTTTTTACTTCACTTTAATGCAAAAATAGAGCCATTTGCAATATCCTCAAATGTTAAACAATTTGTATGCTTTGAGCCTACAATAAAATTGCGCAAAAGAATTCTTTTTAAAGATGACTTAAGTTGGATGACATCTGGATTATTATTAAATCCATTCATTCCACGAATACAAGAGAACATTAACTCAAGATGATCTTGTGAAAATTTGTATGTTAGGCAAAATTTAAAAGGATGAACATTTAAAATCAAAAGCTCATAGGCTAAGTGTTAAAGGCTTTTTGCAGCCACAATTACCCCTAATACAAAAGTTCTCCTAGGTTTTAATAATGGAGTACCATTAGCATCTGTCAACTTTGATAAGTAGTTTATTATTTGATCAAAAGTTAATTAAATTAGGATAATCGTTTTAAAAAAAAAGCTTTCTTATATGATTTTGAAAAAAGATTTTTAGAGTTCAGCATATCAAATAACTTGTCAATGACCCTTATAAAATTTACAGTTCCTTCAGCGTGGTTGAAATTAGGATGTTTGGAAAACATCCGAAATTCAATTGCATCTGCAATTAAACTACTAAGTGTTTGTGCAGCAAACTTAACATTCATTTTGTGAGGCTGGAAATAAATATGTTTTATTGAGATTTTATTTGCAAATTTCAATCCTTCCTCTTCTTGTATTTCAAATAAAGCTTTATATCACAATCCTTAAGTACCTCTAAATCACATAACGGATTTCTAGCTAATTTTAGCACATGACTTGGGTCAGGGATTACATGCAAGTAGTGATTATAGGCTTCAAAAGTAAATCTTACATTAATTTTTTTAATCTTTTCCCAAATGTACATCCTAGTGATTCAACAGAATTAAAGTTAACATTTACACCATCAAATGTAATGCTACATACATTAATTTTTTTATCAGAAGAAATTGTTAATTCTTTTTTAATAAGACATGAAAGGTTTTCAGCTGTTACTTTACTACATAGTATATAGCCAATAGATGTTTTCCAATGACCTCGTAATCCTACCAGCATAAATACTAATGCTTCTGTAGCTGATGTGCCTGGTTCAATAGCAACAATATCTTTTCCATAATCTGTAAAGCCAATGAATCGACCTGTCTTTTTATCATTTAGAACTGATTTTTTGATTGCCATTGCA